CTCTCTCTCTCTCTCTCTCTCTCTCTCTCTCTCTCTCTCTCTCTCTCACTCACTCACTCACTCACTCACTCTCAACCCCTCCCCCCCCACACACACCCCTATCCCCTGCAGAGTTTAAGCTGCTTTGAAATCAGTTTAACTGGCACGACTTCTCCAGTCAACACTGGGATTTTGTGAGGAGTTCTACCCATTTCCTCTGACTTAAAATCTCCACATTTTCTTAAAAAAATATAAACACACACACATGTACGTGCATACCTCTCTCACTGTGTTCTAGCTATAGAATAGTATGAGAAGTCAGTCCAGTCCAGTGGGGAGTATAGACATGCTGAAATACCAGAGCATGGGGCAAATACATGCCACGGAGCATCTCACTGCAGTTTATAGATCAATCATGGCTTGCAAGGTTTTCCTGCTTTTCTAGCTGGTGCCAATTTGTTACATGGTCTGCTTTGACTGACAGTACTTCAATCTGTGTTCACAGTCTGAGATGTAGGTATTTTGGGATGATTGCTAATCTATCTTCCCACTCTGTTTTGGGAAGTATGCACCTTGAACAAGTATCTGTTAACAGCATTCATGGGTCTACACACACACACACACACCCCCACACAAACACAAATTGGAATCTCTTTATTCTCTCCCTTAGTTGGAAACTGAGATCCAGCGAATTTCAGAGGATTATGAAAACCTAATGAAAGCCTCTTCTAAGAGAGAGACATTGGAAAAAGCCATGAGAAACAAGAAAGATGGAGAGGTACGGAGGTTGCAGGACTTCAACCGAGATCTAAAAGGTATGATGGCATGAAAAGCCTTGGGCAATACATGTAATTCCAGTATTTAGGTAGAAGACAGGGCAATTAGAAGCAAATTCCATGTTAGTTTCAGGCTTCCAATCCCATGTACCAAATCCCAAGTGACCAAATGCTACTAATACGGGCCTGTCTAGGGTGTAATCAGATTGTATTTCTACACACATCCATAGTATCAGATTCAATTCATATAATGAGCTGCAGGCACATGCACATGCTCTGCTTGTCTTGACTGTGGCTCCACTCTCTGATCACTGAGTTTCTCCTGCAGAGGGGAGTGCTAACCATAATTTGCCAGTCCAGATGTCACAGCAAACTAGCTAGCAGGAAACAGAATAGCGAGGAAAAATGCATGCAAGGGAGTGGAGAGTGTGCAAGTACATGCCTGGTTCATGATCAGACATGAAAAGTCTAGGAAAAGAATCCAGGAAAATGAAGGGGGAAGCCAAAAAATTAGAACCTTTTTTTCCCCAGGGAGATTTGAAAAATGTGTGTGGGAAAAAGTTTCCCTATTTGATTTTTTGTAGTTTTTTCCAAAAAAATTTTTAAGCCTTCACAACTTGATCTTCCAAACCACGGTTTGGAAGATGGCTTAAAGTGAACCATGTAGTTTGTTAGGATTCCAAAAAAAAAAGCTAATTTATTTTTTAAAATTGAAAATTTATGTTATGAGACTTTGGAGTAGGGGGAAGTAATAAAATAACCAATACATGCATGTGTGCACTCATGATAGCAAAGTGTATAGCTTCCATATAGCCTGATCTTGATCAATCTTGGAAGCTAGACAGGGTCAGGCCTGGTTGAAATCTGGATGGGTGACTTAAATTTTGTGAATTGCCCTGAGAGCTTTGGCTATGGTCAGTATAGAAATGTAATAACAATAATAAAGCATTGGGCCCAGAGAAAAACTTACTGATTCTACATAATATGCATATTATATAAAGCTGTTACTATTTCCATCTATCAGTTGTGCCATTGCTAGCAGCCATGCCTCCCTGAACTTACCTCCCTGAGCTAGGGATGATAGAGCACCGTCTCTGGCAAGGGACAGTAACATTTTGTGTTCTTGTAGTAATTTATGAGCTTTTATATGAATTGCATTCTTACCCTGATTTTTTTGTTCAATTTGTCACAGAGCGATTAGAGTCTGCCAACAAGCAGCTTGCAAGCCGGGCACAGGAAAACCAAGAGGGAAACCAAGGGACAATGGCAAAACTTGTTGCCCAAAGTAAGTCTCTTGCAGTCCCTCGCTCTCTCTCTCTCTCTCAAAAGGTTTCTGCTGTTGCAGCTGTAGTTCTGTCCAGGTTGGCCTTTTCTTTGTGCTCCAGGCCCTGTTCTCCCCTCCCCATGCCTTTGCTGCAAACTGACCCGGTAGGGAGGAAACCTGAAGGTCTCTTTAAGTCTGAAGAGGAGGCGGATCCTCCCTTGGAAGCTTTTTGCCATTCTCTGGAGAGCGCTAAGCTGTTCTTGGCACTTAAATAGAGCCATTAATCACCACAGCCATCAGTGTGACCTGGATTCTTTGCATTCCAGTGGCTGTTCTGGCTGTTCCAGCACACAGGCTGAACTCCCTCTGCTTAAGGTCCTAGGTCCTGCATGTTGTCTTTTGCAATATTTCTTTCTCTTGCTATTGTTCTGGATTTTTAGAACAGAGAGATTGTTGTCAAGGGATGGGAATTGCACAGGATGGAAACTGGGAAGTAAAGGGACTTCTGCTTAACTTTTTAACATCCTGTGCAAGCAACTGCCTCTACTTCACAGAGGTGACTTCTGCTCCTGCCAAAGGATTTCTTCCTGGCCTTGTAAATACGCCAGTCTAAGACTCGCAGTACAATCCTATGCATATTTACGCAGAAATAAGTCTCATTGTGGTCAGAGGGACTCAAACCCTATTAAATACATTTATTTAGATGTATTAAATGAAAATGACCTTCTTGTGACATTTTTGTTCATTTATAGAATGGTTCTTAGACATTTAGAGCAAATGTGAAGGAATTGTTTCATATAATTAGGACCTATTCCTCCCGTCCCCAAGTTGATGCCCTCCAGGCCTGCTAGGAAAGTTGGAAGCTGCAGCCCGTTTTATCTGTAGGACACCAGATTGGAGGATGCTGCCCTGCTGTTGTGCTTAGATCACCACAGCTTTCCAGTAACATCTGTAGTAACAGGCAGGCCGCCCTTACTTGGAGTATGAAGGAAGCAGCTATTTGCACATAAACCACTTCAGTCTCAGTGAAAGTGTCTGTGAGGATTTGCATAGTCCTCCAGAACTGTTGCTGTGCCTGCCAGGTCTCTGGTAGGATTAGCAGGAAGTAACCATGTAGCCTGTCCAGACATACTTGGTATTAAACTATTAAGTCTAGAATCTAGACTCTAGATGGTGGGAGAAGGGGACATGTGGCCTTCTAGGTCTTGTTAGACTCCAACTCCTATGATCCCCAACCAGCATGGTCAGATATTGTCAGAGTATGACCTCCCCATCCCTGCCATAGAACTGCTTGGACCACTGTGCTAAATTTCAGCATATTCTTCCTTCCAGTCATGGCACTAAACAGGCTTGGTGCCCATGTCATGATCGCATTGTGGAAAACAGCAGCATGAGGCTGTTCGAATTAGGGTAGTGATAGCTAGGACTATAGAATAAGATCAAAGCACCTTGACACAAAGGCACATTTTGTTTGTTTGTTTCTGGTGTCCATTAGTTCTCTGGGCTTGAACCCAATATGATCCCACCAAGGAATAACTTAAAAAGTGAGAATTTAGGTAACACCCATTTCTTTTCTAATGACTTGGAGAATGACTTGCTCAGTTCATTATAACGGGTGCGCAACATGTACGCCAACGACATCTGGAAGGCCGCAATTCAGCCCTAGCAAGATAGCCAATGGTGAGGCAGTATGACATTTGGGGCCCTCCACCTGTTTTGGGCAGCAAATTTGCTACCCCCTGCTTTATAGTTATGCATTCTCCCTGTAGTTAGCTGTGAGAAATACTTTTGGCTGCAGTGCCAGTTTTTTCCTCCCTATTAAAGTGGGCAAATATCTACAGTTTGTGTTCATAGTCTCTCCTCCTCATATTGCCTTCAGACTATGAGTACCAACAAGAAAGGGAGAAGCTACAGCGGGAAATTGCACGGTTGCATGGTGCCAGCGAAGACCAACGGCGGCGAGCAGAGCTGCTGGAACAGGCTCTGAGCAGTGCCCAGGCCCGGGCCGCCAAAATGGAGGATGAACTGCGTAAGAAGCGGGCATACGTGGAAAAAGTGGAGAGGCTGCAGCAGGCTCTGGGCCAGCTCCAGGCAGCCTGTGAGAAGCGTGAGCAGCTGGAACTGCGTCTCCGTACTCATCTGGAGCAGGAGTTGAAGATGCTGCGGGCTCAGCAGGTGAGAAACCCAAAGAACAGGAGAAGCACCACTGTACTTAGCAACTCAGGGGTCAGGGTTACCAGTCTGAGTCAGCCAACTTTTAATGGCTATAATCAGGCTTCTCCAATCCAGTGCCCTTCAGATTTTTTGGGCTTCAGCTCTTATCAACTCCAGCCAGCATGGCCAACAGTCAGGAATGCTGGAAGTTGTCATCCAAAGCATCTGGATGGCACCAGGTTTTGGATGGTTTTCCCGAATCCTGTCCTTGGCTGCAGGCTCAGCAATTTTACTCTGCTGGTAAAAAAGAGAATGTCTAGAATAATAGACCAATAATATCTCAAAATGAATAATGTGTAAAATGTTTTAGGTTATAGTTATTAGTTACTACATAGTCACTGAATTATCAGTTATCTGCTTGGCAACAATTACCAGGCCACTTTATAGATTCTTGAAGCCACAAAAGAGGGGCATTTAGGGGAGAATGTACAGCATATGAGGCATAGTACTCCAAGATAGCTCTCATTGTCAAAAGCATTTAAATAAATCTATTCAGTCAAAGGCAGGAAAATACTGAAAAATAAATATTGAAAATACTGAATGGAATATTGTCATTCACATCTTATATCTGCTGAAAAGTGAATGGCTGGCATTTATTAAACTGTGATGTGCCAGCACTCAAGATTAGTGACAAATGCAGGCTATATGTGGGGCAACATCCCAAAGAAGATGCTTAATGGATGTGTATATACCTTTCCAGCCCAATTCCTAAAGCATTTTCATTCAGGAACCTCATAACTGGGTCTTTGCCCCATTATACTTTATAAGGAGGCGGTTTGCAGCCAAAGCATGGAATGCAGTGTCACATGGATCCTTTATTTCTTTTTGTCCATTTAGAGACAGATGGGAGCACCTAGCAGCAGCTCCCCTGAGTTAAATGCCCATATGCTGTCTGAGCAGCTGAGAGAAAGGGAAGAGAAGATCCTAGCCCTGGAGGCTGATATGACCAAGTGGGAGCAAAAATATCTAGAAGAGTGCACCATGAGGCAGTTTGCCATGGATGCTGCTGCCACTGCTGCAGCACAGCGGGACACTACCATCATCAACCACTCCCCACGCCACTCCCCCAACAGCAGCTTTGATGAAGACCTCTTGCTGGCAAACCATAAGCACCAGGAGATGGAGAACAGGTTGGTTCTGCTGGAGATTTTGTTTAAAGTAACTTGTCTGCTGGCCTGGTCCTGGCTTTGATTGTGTCTCTTTCATACCACTTTCCTTAAAATGGAAAGGGAACTTCTGACCTTCTAGATACTGTTGGACTGCAACTCCCATCAGTCTTCGCCAGCATTGCCAGTGGTGAAGGACATGGGAGTTGCACTCCAACTACAGGAGGACTACACATCCCCTCTCCCTGGCATCAAAAGTAGCTTTCTTACTGGATGGACTTCAAAACATGCTAAAAGAAAGCTGATGCCCATAGTGCCCATGACAAGTTTGTAGCATTTAAAATGGACTCTTTGCAGGCTTTGAAAAATGGAAGAGAGGAAATAAAGTGGGATGGTTAGAAGGGGAGTGCCACTGAAATGCTGAACAGCAGGAGTGTGAAGGATGCATTGAGAAAAGAGGCTTTGTACAAACTTGAATGTCACTTCTGTTTTTTCTCACATGTGTTTTCCTTTACTTTCCCAGGTTAAAAACACTTCATGCTCAAATACTCGAGAAAGATGCGGTCATCAAAGTTTTGCAGCAGCGCTCTCGCAAGGATCCCAGTAAAGTGCATCAGGGCTCCCTGCGACCTGCCAAATCAGTGCCATCCATCTTTGCAGCCTCTGGTACCCAGAACTGGCCAGGCACAGCCGTCAGTGAAAGTGGTTCCCGAGGGAGTCCAGGTAATAAAGGCTTTCCTTTGATGGTGGAAGATAAAAGGGAGGAATTCTTTAGTTATAATATGTACAATGATCTTGTTTGTGCTGGTTCCTTTTAAGTCTCCCAGGAAACACTTGTAGTCATATTTTGTGATGCATGTACTTTTGCATTCACATATCCTTGTCCTTTTAGGAAGAGAATGACTCCCTTCGGGTGTCTGATTCTTCAGAATCAGGAATGTTGAGTGATCCTAGATAGCCATAGTTTACTGTGACATCAAGTCAACTTAAGTTTGCAACAAACTATGATTTGCAAACCTACTTTAAGTTATGGTTTGGAAGTAACTTAAGTTACTTTAAGTCATTGCAGTTTGCAGTAGGATCTTTATAATTATACTTCAAATCAAATCATATTCCTACTTTTCCAAATCAACATTTGGAGGATCGGGAATCTTGTCTGAATAGAACAGCTTAGACCATTGGTGGAAACATACAACTGTGAACAAAATGGTTTTCCCATCCATTGTCATCTCTTGGTCATTAAGTAAGCTCAAAGCTCCATAGTCCTTCCATGATGGGAGGCTAGATAAATACATCATTTGTGGTTTTGGCACTGCAGCCTGGTGGCTCCAGATGTTTAGAACCACAGTTTCCAAGATTCCTGACATTGGCTCTACTGACTGGGGCTAATGGGTACTGAAGTCCACAACTTCTGAAGAGCTCCAAGTTGGGAATGGCTAGTGTGATTAATCAATCTCAACAGCAACTTCTACGAGAACTCCTGTTCAGGAGAAAATGTAGAAGGGGATCCTTTTCCTTTAATCAAGGGCTTGTTTCACTTAATAGTTTGCACTATGAACAGGGTTCGTTTTCTCTCTTCTTCAGCCCCCAAGGCCTTGGCAGAAGCATCCATCCCACCAATTTGTGTCCCCTTCCATGCCAAACATGGCAGCAAAGACGGGAGCACGCAGACAGAAGGCTCATCTGAGGGCAGTCCATGTGAGGAGCCTGAGTGCCATCTAGAAAGCAGCGGCAGTGCAGCAAATTCCCTAGGTAAGTGCCGGCTGTTGGCCTAACTCACAGAGTCGTGGCTGCGGGATGGATGACCATGGTGCCTGACCTTCTCTTATGGACTCCGGTAGCTATGTTTGCAGTACACCCAGTGAACTGCCTTCCCCTACCAGGGATGCCTGACACAGTTGACATAGCTAAGAGGTGAACACAGAGCTGCCTGCTGCAGGCTAAATGCCAGGACAGAGATTCTTGCCATAGTGAGTAATCATGAGTTTCATGCAATGCAGTACAGGCTTATCCTAGAGGAGCAGGTGGGGCTGAAGGATTTAAACACACGCAGAGAGAGAGAGGGAGGAAGAGAGGGATTCAGTGATGGCTTGTGTGGAAAATATACCTCCTCTTGCTCTCTCAAGTTCCCTAGTGGCCTCATGCATATACTTTTTTAAACTTAAGGTAGGAAATACCCCAACATCTCACTGCCAGAACATCTTGGAAAAAAGAAGCTCTGAAGGATGATTCATGTCAGGAGAGAAAAATCTGAGCAGATAGTTTCTCTTTTCCTGCATCCTCCTCAGCTGATGATACTTTTCTCAGCCTGTGGTTTTGGGGTTTCACCCAGGCTCGTCTCCTGCCTTGGACCCACAAGGATGGTGCAAGACACTGGCTGTACTGAGAATAGTGGGAGCTGGGTTTGACCAGCCTTCTCCAGCATGTTGCCTGAATGAATGACTGGCACAGCCATGGGCATCAGTCCACACATGATGCCATGTGTGTTGTTAGCAGTGGGACCTTTGGCCCTCCATATGTTACTGGACTAACTGGACCTTCCATCAACCCAACCACTAGCCACTTTGGCTGGGGCTGCTGGAAGTTGGGGCCGCTCAACATCCAGAAGGCCACTATGTTCCTACCTGTGTATTCAAAGGGAAAAAGTTTCCAATGAGAGAAGCTGGAGTTTTCAATCATGCTTTGTTGCCTGTCCTGTAATGCAAGGAAAAGGGACGGGGTTTAGGTTCTGGTTTTGTTTTTGTTTTGTATATGGCTCTGAAGCCTATTTTTATTTTAGCTTTGTAATATTTAGAATAAAGATTTTGCTGTGAAAGATGCTGCAGTCACTAAGTATTTTGACACTGGCTGTGTTTCCTTTGCAGAGATGTTGCCAGCTGCAAAAGCCCTGGATCTGTCAGACATGGTGGAGATCCTCATCTGAGGAGCAGGACATCCTCTGTGCATGACCTGACCAGACCAGACCAGACCCAGTCACTGCTGCCTAACTTGGTGGGGGGTGGGAAGGGAACAGTAACCGATGGAGAAAGAAAAGACTTGAGAGCGAAGACTTCAGCAATGACTGGTGGTGAGCAGGACAAAGGCTTTGCAAGGGGCTGGAAGAGAATGCCAAGTGGGTCTGTGGATTTGGGGGTTTAAAGTGGCAAGAGAAGTGCATCTCTTCTGGGGCTGTGAATGCCCACCATCCCCCAGGCAGATCTCTCTCCTCCTCCTCTTCCTCCTCCAATGGACTGAGCAACAGCTTGAGCACCGTGCACCGAGGCCGATGCTTGTGTGGAGGCAGTTGCAACACCTTTTCTTTGCTGCTGGCTTGAGAAGCCAAATGTGATTCTGATGTTGCCTGGATGCAGGCCTGCAGAGGGTCGCATGCCGGGGTTTGGCACTGAAAGACATGATATGCCTGATTCACAGGGCTCCTGGCAGGTACCTGGACCAGAAGTGTAAGCTGTCATGAGCAATGATTGTTTTGTCTGGTGCTGCTGTGGTTGCAGTGAATTCTGTGCAGCCTCTCCTTCTCCCAAGCCCACTTTTCACACCTCCCAAGCAGAGGGATTGCTGCAAATACTGGGATTTCAGACAGTCCCTTATTGTCTGCCAGACAGCACATGGCCCACCATAGGCACTGGCAAAGGGGGATCACAGCGATGGTGCCACTTCAATTTTATTGTAAATAGCTTCAGTAAGAACAAGCCCTATAGTAATCAGCATTTTAGCCATAGTCCCTCTGTTTTGGGTCTTTCTTTACCCTCCTCAAGCTTGCAGTGGATCTGCCTGATCTCGCATTTGCTTCACATCACTTAAACTATTCCACCCCCAAGTCCTGTTTTCAGATTTCTCAAGTGTTTGCTTTGCTTTGCTTCCATTTCATATCCTGTTTGTCCAGAGTTAAATATCCGCCTTCAGAGTCCTTCAAATTCCATTTCCTTTGAAGCAATTTCCCATGATGCTTCAGACTGGAATTTCCCTGCACTTTGTTTGAACAGCAGCCACCAGCCAAATGTTTCTCTTTCTGTGTTGCCATTTGCAAGCTGTTGTCCTCTAAACTGGATGCATCCTCGTGTGGCATTGATTGGCACGGCTGTATTGGGATGAGCAGCTCCTACCCTCAGCTGGTATAATACTAGGGTCATTCCATGTTTGGGCAGTACCATCTGGTCCAAAGCAAGATCTCAGTCAGATTTCTTACTGACATGAACAATCATTTATTCATATAACAAATAATGCAGAAAGTGAATTGAAACTACTCCAAGATAGCGGGCGAAGTATGATGCAGTACGTATGCGGGGGTTTGTGTTGAGCTAGTATGTTTGTGAAGTGGGAATGTAGCCAACAGCTAGTTGTTTTTTCTAAAAGACATAAAAGGGCATTTGTAGGAATGATATGAGTGAATATGGAAGTGTAAGACAACTTTATATCCCAGATGTATCTTTAAAAACAAAAGCAAATTTTGGATAGAGTGTTGATTACAGACATATGCTTTCTTTCTTTGGAACCACTCCAGAATCTGCCATAGAATTTCTTTACCTTTCCCTGTCTACTGACAGCTGGCTTCTGACAGTAGCCAATGTTTGATATTCATGCATTACTCACTCCACCAAGCTTTGATGCTTTCTTGATTCTGCTTTTGCACACTTTCATCCAGACTCCTGTATCTGTCAAACATGTGCATTTGCTGGACAACTGCATTAAAAAAATCCCCCTCCATGAATATCTAAAAAGGTGTTCAGTGATTGTGCATTGTTTACAAAGTGAAAAAACAAAGCAAAAAAAGTTATGAGCGAGAGAAAGAAACACAGCTTAATATATTTCATATTAATATTTGGTATTCCTTTTTTAAAAATATTTTTGTGCTGTGAACTTTTTTTCTGCCAAAGACAATGAGGGGTGTTTTTTTGTTTTGTTTTGTTTTTGGTGCATTTTAAGTTATCTTAAGTATTTAAACGTAAACCTGACTTTTATTATGCCACCCTATACCGAGATTGCTGTAGCATTCTACTTGGTATAACAATATTTTAATAATAAATAAATATTGCCTAATAAGCCTGTTTTCTTCTGTGGTGTGTTTTTGTGACTGGGAACTGCACTGGTGATAACCTCATGCACACACAAAAGGAAGTCAGTGTCTCCTGTGCCTTTCCTATCTTTGAATTGGATCCAGACTCTGTCGTGCTTCAAGCAGCCCCACTGTAATCAATTCAACTTAAGTGTAGGTCAGGTCCCAACCTGTCATACATGCTTGCGTTAAATCCATATTGTGACACTGGTGCTGGTACAACTTCTTTTGTAAAGCTGTAGGGCAGGATCCTAGGCATGTTTAGGTGGAAAAATGGTCTTAGGCAGACCTGCTGGTAGCACCCAACACCTGGGAGCAGTTGCCAAGGCTCAGACAAGGCCCACAGACACTGGTACCTGTCCTACCCCATATGGCTGAGACAGGAACATCATATGAAATCTCCCGCAGTGCTGGAGAGCACTATTACATCAGACACCCCACATCACACTGCAAGATGTAAAGTGGTGGTGTCACTGTTGCTCACCACCACTACTGCCTCCCAGGCACTCTAGGGACTTGATGTAAGAGGGAGCCCACCACCTGGCGTTCTGCCAAGGCCGACTGCATGCTCATCTTGGTCTTAAGAAATTGGGGGTTCTTTAGCACAATAAAAAACATAATGAAAATGGAAGAGCAATGAGCTCAAGTGATGAGAAGATGGATTTGATCTGGGAACTAAGAAAAACCTGTATGAAGTAGACCAACCTGATGAGGCTGGTTTTGGTTATGCAGTCTTAGGCATTGGAAGTTTTCAAGTCCATCAACTGGAAAAGTACCAGTCTTTTAACAGTATAGGATTTCCTGCCTCAAGGCAGATAGACCAGCAGACGATGACCTGCACAAGACTTGGTTCTGTGACTGGACAGCTAAAATGGGAAAATGTATGTGATGAGCAGCTTTCCCAGATGTGTGTGTCAGGGGAATACTCTATCCACTCTGCCTTTGGCCTTCATAGTGGCTCACTCATGCTGCCCCCATCATGTACCACCAGCTCTGTAACCCATCACCACTAAATGGAAAATATCAACAGAAGCCTTGTCAGTTTGGCAAAGGCACAGAAAAGGGAAACCAAGCAATGTAAGAAGTGGCTGTAGGGTAGCCAAGTGGCCAGCTTTTCCATTGGAAGACCATCCTCTGTTTGAAGGTCTACCCAGTCTGCTTTAAACATAAGGGCCTACAGGAAGGGGTCATGAGCATTGATCTTAGTGAACACCTGGACAGCAGAGCAGACTCAGAAGCTCCACAGTTCAGCCTTACCCATGGGGAGAGATTCATTGTATCTCTGGGCAACTTGTTTTTAAATTTGCCGTTCTGTTTTATTATGTGCAAATATACTATGCAAATCGGCACCCTCTTTTCGGTAATGCACAAGCAAGCACATTCCGAAGGACAGAAAGTTGCCAGCCACAGTGCTGGTCAGGGGTAACTGAACAGGTGGCATGCTAAAGCTATTATCTACTCTGCTGGGCCTTGAACTCAGCTTATCTGCAGGCCTTAGCCAATTCAGACTATAAGTCAATTAGTATACAGGCCATGGTGTGTACATCTGTGCATGTGTAGAGGCCCAACTTTAGATTAAGCTCCTAAGAGCTAACACAATAAATATAAGATGGGAACAGTTTGTGCACATATGGCAACATGGAGATGAGGGTGAGGCAGATTCCACCAGGTTGGCAGGGATCTTAACCACTGTGCCCTCAGCAACACACACGCACGCGCGCACTTCAGTGCTGCATTCCATTGCAGGGACGGGTACACTTCCAAAATGTCCTGTTAAGGTCCATTAACATTTTCTGCTTTGCCATGGCAGCTTATATCCTGTAGACACTGACCTTGGTGGTTAATCTATAACGATTAACAATGCATTTGGCCCCTTTACGTGCTGTGATTAACCTGAAGAATTTGAGTAAAGAGCCAACAAGATTATTACAGAGAGGAAAGCAATGCTTAAACAACCTTTCCTTCTCTGAAATAAACAGTGAGAGGCAGGACTGCCTTGTTTATTGTAAAAAAACAAAACAAAACAAAAACAGATAAGTTATTTTAAGGCCCAAAGAAAACAATGGTGATGCATTTGGCTTTTCCTCAAGAGAATACTGAATGGCCAAAAAAGGGGGAGGGGTCCTAAACCCAAACCCAAAGATTTATTACTTGTCTTCAAATGAATGAACACCAGAAAATAAGTTACAGTAGTCGAGCACAACTTTTCAGATTAGAGCAACCAGTCACTAGAGGTGGAGGGTCATTTGCAAATGAATCCCACTGAAAACTCGCTTGGCTAGGAGAGAGAGGCCTAGAGCAGAGGAACAGTTGAGCTTCTCTTACCTGTGTACCCCTTTTGCTGTTAAAATGGAGGAGTGAACTGTATATGTATGAAACTGAAACTGATGCAGGTTCACACCGATGAGTTTGCTGCTGTCACATAGCCTGATCTTACCTTGGAAACTGCCTTATATGGGATTATCAGGCCACCTGTCCACCTCTGAATGGAGTCTTCCTCCAGGTGGGCTGGACTACATCTCCCATCATCCAGGCCAACTGGAGGGCACTAGGGTGGGAGAAAGCTGTTTTAGCCTCTTATTGTCTCCTCTTGGTTGCTGTTAGTTCTCCAAGATCTGGGGTTTTTCCAGATAGTGCTGACCAGAGTCCTCCTTTTAACTGGATGCCAAGGAATATACCTGAAAAATTTGTGCACAAAGCATACGCTCCACCACATGAGCTATGGGCCCTCCTTGCTCCTGCCTAGATGTGTGTGTTATAAAATCAGAGCAGAAGGTTTTCAGGGCATTTTGTCATTGATGTTCTACAGGGCAGCAGCCCAACCCCAGAGAGGAATATGTTATTCTGTTTGCTTCTGTGTTCATCTGATAGGGTAGTCGTGTTCATCTGTCCGCTTTTACAGAGGGCCCTCCTTGATTCGAAAGCCTGTTCTGTCCAATGCAGGCCATAAGAACTGTTGCACCCAAACAACAGCCTGAACAAGGCTCACCTAGGCATAGTCTTCCACACTATTCTATTCAGATTGTAATGTCTAAATTTGTATCTATACATGCAAATTAGCATATTTAAATGTTATGCAAATTAACACCCTCTTTTGTGATTATGCATTTCCTCCTTTTTATGACGCATAAATGGCCACACTTGTCTGGGGGTGTTTATGCCTTAAGCTGAAGTTCTTGAGACAGCTAACAATACATTTATAATACAGTAAAATAGACACTAGAGAGGGCCCAAAAAGTAGCTCTGCACTCTACTTCTGCACCTCTGTGCAGATCTTGGAGGAAATTCTGGTAGGCTGCCCTCATTGTGCTTCTCACAAGGGAGGCCTTCATCCTGTGCTGTGACTGCCTTGTCCACCCTCTGGCTTCTGGACACGGATAAAAGGCAGTGGAGAAGCCTCTCCAATCCTTACAAGCCTTCACCAAGTGCTCAGAAGTTTTAGCAGCCCAAATGCACACCGTTGAATCTGGTCAGAAGCTGGGCCTAAACTACTCGTAGCAATGCACCCATGCTTAACTTTTGATTATCATATTGATTTTGATGGGCCTTTCAGTGCCATTGAGATCTTACGTATTTGGTTGAACAGGGTCAACCATTCTTCCATTTGTCTGCTAAACACATGAATGATGCAGGCATCATGAATTTATTTTTCAGCTGCTTACTGCATAGCATGCTTTCTGCAAGAGAAGGGATCAGTAACTAGCATCTCTACACATTTAATCCAACTGTAGTAAGCAGTTTCCTCTGTGTGTGCGTGGTGCAAATGTTTGACATGTTTCCATAAGTTGTGAGACCCAGAGAGATTTCCTATTTCAACTCCCATTTCTGCAACTTTTGTGAAATGCCCTAAATAAACAACCTATGAATTTTCACGTCTGTCTTATTGCAGAAGTTCTGCTGCTGGTGACAGCTGGTTGAGCACCACCATGCATATTTCCAATACTGATACAGGATGAATGCTGAACCTTACCTTAGGCTAAGGCTGGCAAACATGACAGCCAGCTTCACAGGATATTGTTCCTGAAGGCAGACACAATCCATTGCTTTAGAAAGCCAGGAGCATGTTTAGTGCAATGGAAGTTATGTGAGTGCTCTGATCTGCCGAATTTTCCAAAAAGTGGTCTGCGGAGCCACCCAACAATTTTCAGATGGTCTGCAAGCATGCCAAGTATCTGAACCATTTTCTTACTGCATTGCGATTTCATGTATATTCTGGAAAAATGTGCTTGCAGAGACCTCTGATGACTTCTTATGGGAGGACTGTCAACAAGGAGAGGATCTTATTGGCAGGAATCCCCTATACACAGAGCCACATGTATGGGATAAGGTGAGGAAGATTCAGTGGGTAAAAGGATCGTGCCCAATAGTCATGCTAAGCCTACCCCTTTTCCCCCACTGTTTTAATTCAGGATACCAGTTGAGCCTGATTTTTCAAAATACTTTAGAAGATGTTCAGGTTCAGATAGTTTAAATAGAAGTTTGCGGTGGGGCTGCTTTTGACAACCGTCTGCATGCTTTAGTCATGGCAAAATGCAGCAGTCTGCTGCAAAATGGTGCATGGTATGGGGACTGTATTGTACCTGTCCTGAAAGACTCTACTGTTTGCTTATTGTTTTCTGGGCACAATTCAAGGTGTTAGCTCTAATCTTTACAAATTTAAACAGCTTAGTCAGAAGATATATCTCTGACTATTTTGGAGTTTCACTCCCAAGAAGCTCCTGCCAACATCACCAGGTACAGTAGGCTGAGAGATGAATTCTAAAACCATTGGAGATTGACTTCCTGCTCACCCTAGATCTAAGGAAGCGCCTGTCCTGCTGTGAACCTGTCCAGATCTTAATCTGTAGGACTGGCCCCTTTGAGGGTGATATTACCCACAGAGGCTACTTTGTCAGGCACATGGGAAAAGGCTTTCTCCAGTTTTGCCCCCAAATTATGGAATGCACTCCCTCCAGAACCATGACTGGAGGTACATAAGCCTTACAAATA